TATGTATTTATGCCTATCTCAAATTAGCTTAAGAAAGGTAGGGGGGATGGACTGTTTCTCCCATATTCACTATCACATTTGGGCAAAACAAGCTTTTGCATTTCCATCCCTTAAGTGGTTTAAAATCCCCACTGTTTTAAAATCAGAATCCTAATTTCAGTTGAATAAGGAAGCTGAATATATGCTTGGAAAGTTAGTTCCTAACAGGACAGTCCGACGAGTCATTAGTAAAATTCAAACCAGACCAATGATCACCCTTATCTTAATTCTCTCTTCTTCTTTCTTTTTCTTTTTTGCATTGTTGGTAAAACTTAACAGGAAAGATCTACCCTCTTACAGAATTTTAAGTGCAACAAATACATTGTTGTAACTGTTAGGCCACAATTGTTGGCACAGTGGACATCTCTACTTTTTAATCATCAGTAAATATAAATGGTATATTTTTTCTGGCGTACTCTTTTTACTGCTTTCATGGCTCAACCTAGATCTGGCCAATATTGGTAAGGCTTATCAGCCCTGCCAAACTAAGCTCCCAAACCCACCACAGTATCTTGGCCTAAACATTATACCAAAGCATAAAAACAAACAAACAAAATTTAAAAAGTCCAACAAATCAATCCCAGGGTCTTACCTTCTCAATGTTCCTGTTTCTTTTAATGATAACCCCCAATGACCCCAATTGTGATGTTTTCTTTGAATCTTCCCCATTCCAAAATACTGCTCATGCAGTCACACTTCAAACACTGGAAAGATGCCTTATAACACCCTATCATAGATCTATTTTCTGTCAATTTCTATTATAGGTTTACACTCCTCACCTATATTTCTCTGCGGAACCTGAAACTGCTCCAGTGGTCTTCTGACTCTTCCTTACTCCAATCTGCACTAGCCTCTACAAAATTTATACACTCCTGCGACCAACGATTTGATCATGTTGCTCTCTGTTCAAAAAAAATCTTTTAATGGAACTACCACTTTTTTGTTGAATAAAGGCCCAAATTCATATCTCTTCAGCGAAGCATTTAGAAACTGCATTAATCTGTCCAACGACATTTTAAGGCTTTCACTCCTACTTCATTAGTACTCTATTCTATGTATTTAATTCAAATTGCTACTTACTTCCTTTACTTAAATAAGCCACAATATTTTTCTCTCATCTCTACGCTCTTGTTCTTTCCTTTCATTATTATTTGATTAAAATTTTGTTTTCAAGAGGCTGATACAGGGTTACATGGAGTGATTATTAATAAAATTTCAAGATGCGTACTTAGAGATATATAGTGAACAACTTAGTCATTCTTTCAACCACTATATAGCTCTCTCTTAAGCAGGGCACTCACATATTGAGATAGTCTATGGCACATGTATGGCATAAACAGCTATGTATTTATTTTTTAACTCAAATCGGTAATATACTTTACACATAGGTTCTTGTGAACCTTGTATTTTTCACTGAGATGAATATTAGAGGTGGATTCCAAATAATATATAGAAAATGTGTCACTTCTTTCTATGCTGCAAAAATCGTTGTATTAGTGAATAAATGTATACCAATTTATTTAATTAGGTCCACTAAATGGAAGGGACATTTATGTATGCTTCCATTTCTTTGGTATTAGAAATGCGTTACTCGTATAATGAATATATTTTATACATACATAATTCTGCAGTATGTGGAGGTGAGCATATTTGTAGAAACAAGTTCCTAGAAATGCGAATTGCTGGCGTCAATGATGATGGGCTATTTCTTTTCATTTATAATACTGTCTCTCACTTGATCTCAGTCTTCCTTTCCCAAACTTGTTGCCAACATGGCCTACCTCATGCAATCTCTCGTCCGATTTCTGCCTGTGAAGTGTTCTCAATTTTTCCACACTCAACTAGAAAAGACTACACTCTCTGTGCTATGGTACATATTTTCACCTCCACTACTGAATCTTAATCTCTTCAAGGGCTAACAACTGTGTTTATTTGATTTATTCCCTCATGTCTACAGCAATACTTGCGACACATAGTAAGTTTTTAGATAACTGTTTATCGAATAAAAGAATGGCTTAACTACTGTTATACCAATTTTTTAAATTTTTGAGGCCAAATATTTCCTATTACTAATAGAAAAGGCGTTATCACTATTGACTCTCGCTGAATATTTTGGAACTCCATTCTTGCTCGATGGATGATCAAACATATATTTTGAGTTATATACTTACCTGATTTTCTGTTATTAGCGACTCATAATTAGGGGAGTCGGCAAGGAGAAAAAACATGGTGCCTTGAGAAACCAAGCACAAAGCATTGGCCCAGTTTATTCATCTCAAAGGTATTCTCACCCTGGATATCCACTCCATATGGCTTTTAAGAAGTCTAGGAACTGACTGTTGTTGGAGAAAGTTCAATCAAGCCCGTAACCAAAACAGAATTGCCGGGGGAAAATCAGGAAGGAAAATGCCGCGTTGAGGGTTTCAGAAATAAGTTCTTAAAGGGTCTGAAATAAGAGAAGATAAAATAAAGGGTCAGCTGTTTAGGCTTACAACAAATTTTGACAAAACAATTGAAAATTAGGATGTAGACCCGATATACTGAAACCTGGAGAAGCTTATCGT